TTCTTCATCCTCCACAGCACAAACTGGTTTTAAGTTTTTTTTTTTATTTTCTGATTTTGTATCAGACAACCCAAATTAAGGGGGCGTTTGTATCAGCACAAAGAGGGATTTCTCTTTTGCGTCGTCGAGAGGGAGGCGCGTCGGAGACGCGATGGGGGCAAAAGGCGCGATGGTCGTTCTTGTTCTTGTGGCGGAGGCGCAAGGGCGCAAGGGCTCCTCCTGGGGTACTCGGGTGGTTCTCGGGTGGTTCTCGGGTGGTTCCTCCTCAACCCCAAAACGCCACATTTCGCTTCTCACAAGACCCTCCTCGCGTTCCTGTGGGTGGCGGCGTTGGCCTCGCTTTTCGTCTGGCAGAGGAACACGATCAATGGCTTGAGGCGTTTGAGTCTGGCGTTGGCCTCGTGTTACTCTCAACACTAAGGCGTTTGAGAAAGGTGTTAGGGTCATTTCCTGCCTGAAGCTTTTTCATTCCTGCCTTTGTTTATATTTTCCCTTCATCTTTCTTCTGAATTTGCCCAATAAATGGGTATGATGATTCCATTGTGCTTTGTCCTTTCTTCTTTGAAGAAGAATTTTTAGTTTTTGAGTTCGGATTCTTACATACCTACACGGCTGAAATGGTTGCTATTATTTTAGTTAATTGTGTGTTCTTCTGACTTATGTTCAGATCTTTGTATTTTGCAGTGAAAGAGCTTGAAGGTGGAAAAGAGAATTGGTATGAGAAAGTGAATAATGTTCTTGTTCAGAGGATGACATTCACGGATACCCAATCTGAAAGGATACCCAATCTGAAACCAATATGAAGAACCAATCTGAAAGAATACCCAATCTGAAACCAATCTGAGGGCTCTTGAAGAACTGATACTAACTCGGTTCAAAGATAACCGAGTCGAATCCTAAATATTGTTTCCGTTAAAGAAAACCGAGGGGAATACTTTTTACCTCGTCTACATATGCCTCGGTTCCCAAACCGAGGTCTATGGCAAAAAATAACCGATGTCAATTCATTTAACTACACTAGTGACTGTTCCTTTGCGTTTTATTTTTTTAACCTAGACAAGGTTACTACCTCGGTTCATTGAGTGACCGAGGTAATAAAGGGGATATGGCCTCGGTTCCCCAATTAACCGAGGCCTATTCTCTTGAAAAAAAATTCAAAATACATCTGAAATGGGAATTTTGAAATTTTTCAAACTTTATGCCGCGGTTCACCGCCAAACCGCAGCCTATTCCCTGACGCTTACCTGCCCCCATTTATTACAATAGTGCCACATGGGGAATGTTAGAATTTGACAGGGTTTTATGCCTCGGTTCAAAGGGGAACCACGGCCTATTCCCTAACGCTCTACCTGCCCATTTATTGCAGGAGTGCCACGTGTGGAAAGTCAGAATTTGACAGGGGGTTTATGCCTCGGTTCGTAGGGGAACCGAGGTCGTATACCACCTATGGTCTCGGTTGTAGAGGAACCACAGTATATACGTTAGCGAGAATTTCAAAAATGTCAACGCGCCAACTTATACTTCGGTTTCTTGTCAAACGATGCATAATAGACGCGTTAAAAAACCATATTTTTACTAGTGGATGTTTCATTCTTATGAATCGTGTTTCCAAGTTGACCATTTAGACAGAGATTACATTATTATTTAAAGATACACTAAGTAATTATTAGGACAAAGATGATACCATTATTTACATATGGACTAAAGATAAGTTGCATCAAGAAAAAAATAACCCAGTTTAATATTTTTAAGTTATATCTCTAATCCATATTCTAAGAATTGTAGGCAGAAGCTCAATGTCAATACCCCAAGAGCCAACTTCTCAGTTGTCTCTTCTCAATTGTTGTCTCTTCTCAATTGTTGTCGTGTGTGTACACGAGATGGAATGGTGTGTACATAATTAAATATTTTACTTCCAATTATATGCTGATGAACTATGATGATACTTATACCAATTTAACATTATTATTATATTTGTTGATACAAAATATATATATATATATATATATATATATATATATATATATATATATATATATATGGAGTAAACTTGATAGATCTCAATTCATAAACAAATTTTCCAAACCAAATGACAATTACGTTGAAGCTATTTTCTCCAATTGCCTTGTCAATAGCAAGAAACTTCTTATTTCCGTAAAGTAGTTTTATAATATGCTCACTAACAAATAAATTGCAATAAGAAAACCACAAGCAAATATTAGATTAAATATAGTAACAATAATTAATTAATACCACAAAACTTACGTAGTTACTTACCTTATTAACAATTTCAAGTCAATGCGGTTAAACAATCCAATAATTTACTTATAAATAATTAGTCTTTTGACCCATGCAAATGGGATTCATTTTTAAGACGAATATATTTTGTTTTTTATAAGAATAATTGAAATCAAAGTTGTAATTTTACAACCCATCACTTCCGGATTGGTAGTTTGGCCTTTCAATTTTGATTATTTTGTATCAAATCTAATATCATCAGTTTTGTCAGATGATCTAGATGATTGTTGGACTGTTTGATAACTGTCAGGCTTGTTTGGTTGAATTACAGATTTTTGTAAAAAATGTAAAAAATTTCTTCTTGACAGTTGAGATATATAAATGTTGTTCAAAAAATGGTACATATATGCATCAAAGATATCCCACATGATATGTACAATGATCAACGAAAAATAAAGGTTGTTGAGCTTGCTGATGTTATCTCTTGTCAAGCTTGTTGAAGTTGTCTCCTGCCAAACCATATAAAATGTATGCTGAGGTTGTCTACTACCTAACCATACAAAATGTATTTGTTTTATATAACAATATTTAGAAATAAAGGATGAACTTAATAATTAAGAACGTTTTGTATAACAACTTTCATATGAATTATTTTTAAGGTTAGCTATCCAATAACTATGGTAAAGCAACAACTGCATGCCTAATTAATTAGCGAAATTAATTAATTGCCTATCATACATTATCAGCAACAAATCAAATTGTTTCAATTGCAACAATAACTATCAATATTGATATTAAAACAAACAATGAGTAAACGATAACTATCAACTTTTAGTTTCCTAATTGTTATTAAGTAAATTATTTCAAACTAATGAATATACACTTTTCAATTTTACTATATCCATAAAAATGACAACACTTCTACAATATTACTAGATTATTTTTTCTCATCTTCATTTTATTAAAACTTCAATTCTTATCTACTACAATTTTTTTTTTAAATTATACTAATTAGTTTTACTAATTTAATATTACTACAACACAATCAAATTATTACTACCTTAAATTTTTTTATATATAATTATCTTATAAATTAATTTTATTTATCTAACTCATTAAACAAAAATATATATTAAAAATTATTTTACATAAATAAATATACATTTGCTCATTATTCTTTTACAAAAACCAACCACAAATACAAGTATAATCATCCATAAAACCCTGGAGGGAATTCAAAATATTTCATCTAGAACTCAAAGACTTCTTCAATGCTGGCAGGTTTGATATGAATATGCAGAAGTTTTGGCTTCGTCTTCAAGTCAATTTGTCTTTTTATAATTTAAACATTATGTAGTTTTCTCTTGAAAACTTCCCCATCATTTGAATACACAATTAGGCTGTTAACCAATAGACTAATCAGATTTAAGGAGAGGTAGAGTAACTAACTGCCTATGCGGCATTAGAAGTAGGTTTATTAGATGCATTTTTCTGGAAATTGAGCATTTGTGAGGGGTGAAAGGAGTGTGGAAACGTGATGAATGTCTAGTTATGTTTTAGCTTGATTTAATATTACACTTGAATTTGTTTAAACTTACAGAATTTTAGAACAAACAACATGAATTCCCTTATCCTGAGAAATATTATTGTATTATTAGTTATACATTTATTTTGTTTTATGTGATTTAATGGAAAATAACTTTTACTTCTTTTTAAAGAGAGAGTAAAATTTATCCGTTGCTTTCAGTACAAAAGAGAGAATACTGAAGATCAGAACCAAAACAAAACCTCCATTATAAAAGAGAGAAAAGAGGAAGAGAAGGACTTGTCCTCTTGGTGTGATAAAAACGAACAAGAGAACAGTATTATAGTGGCCAAAGCATTGGTATAAACTAAGAACACAAATGGGCTCATTCCATTAGTTTTGCTTCCATTGTTATTATAACTGTAATATTGCTTCCACTGTATTGAATTTCGTAAAAGTTATAGTGCTAATAAGAATAACTGAGTCGAGACAACACTTTAATATGACTAACTGTGTGAAAAATTATCATACTAAATGCCATATTTATATAGAAAATGTCAGAAAAACAACCTTCACATATGTATACATATTTCATTTCAAATATTTAAAAATTATAATCGTACACATTTATCTTTATCTTAAATACAAACAATAATTTCTCCAACATATTTAAAATTTATATTTACGCATATTACTTGTACATCACTTCTAAAAGTACTAAATACTATTAACTTCTTTTATTTCTTTTCTAACATATTAATCTTTACTACAAGACTTATTTAACTAATATACCTCATCCAAAATACCTAGCAAACAATTAAATTTGTCTTTACTTTTTTTTATATTTCCGTACTTAACATTAATCAATTTTACTACAAAAGAATGAACAAATCGAAACTAGAAAAACCCATTAAAAAAATGAGGGAGAAGGAGAAAAAAAAAACACATAGTCACTTGACACCCTATTAGGGAAAGAGAATTTTGATGAGAAAAAGATAAGAGGTTTTGAAAAAAATAGAATATAAATTTGATATCAGGATAAAGTTGATACAATATTGCAATATTGTTTCCATTTTATTGAATTTCATAAAAGTGAAGCTGATAATGACAATGAAAGACAAATACCACACCTTAAAAAGACTAGCAATGCGTGGAATATCATATACCATACCAATATTTTTATACAAAATATTGATATATGTATATTTTATTTCAAACATATTATTAATTTATCAAATATTTAAAATTATAATAGTACACACTTTTATTTTATGAAACTTAAGTTTCTTAAAACACCCTTAATGATAAGGAAAGACAATCAAAACCCTATACCATGCATTCTGTATAGGGTCAGCATCTCATTGTTTAGTCAAGTCTTCTCAACAAGTACTCCACTTGCACCTCTTTAGTGAAAGGCATAACTATGTCTTCAAAGAGTTTTGGAATAAAACTTGGCTTGATTTTATAGGTAGGGTTGGCTACATTGTCTTCATCAATCTTCACCACTTGGCCAAATGTTTTGGCCTTCAGTTCTACTCTCTTCTTCACTGTCGCCTCCACAGTTTCATATGTCAGCAACTCTAACAGTAATTTCCTGTCCTGAAAGAGGTTTAAAATAGTATAACATCAGAAAATTAAATAACTTGGACATATTCAAAATCACAATGGAAAATATGATTAATTAATTATGCAAAACTTTACTTTTGCTTTAATTGCAGCTTCATATTCAGAAGGATCATCTTGAAACTTTGCCTCCGCAACAAATTTGCCATAGTGAATTCTCTTTGATAGAGCCTACAATGGTTATGAAGCATTAGAAAAAATGCTCTATATTTGTATCAAACTATGAAAAAAGAACTCCTAAGGTTGTAGAATTATTTCATCACTCCTACTTTCCATGTTTTTATAGGATAGAATTGAAGTTTGTGAGCACTATAGCTTGAAAACGAGTACTGAATCTTAACATTACAGATGAACCTTAACAGTACCTGTAAGCAAAGAATGTCACAAACAGCAATAGATCCACACTCATAATTATTTCCAGCTTTTACCAATTCTGGGATGCTAGATCCACTCTCATCATTATTTCTTGCTTTTATCAATTCTGGGACGATTTCCTTAAAATAGATATTCCAAATCTTATGATTTATATTGATGGAATCAGCACAGCGATGCAGAATCTATGAATAAGTACACAGAAAAATGGAAGGTAGATTAGTCAAAATACAAGTGTGAAGAAATTAAATAAATTTTGATCTCACATAACATGAAAGAAGATAGAAATCCAAAACCTTGGGGTATTGCTGATGTGGAAGAATTGACCTGGGTAAGTGCCGAGGGAAGAAAGGGTTTTCTTCCTCACTCTTGTATCTTCCCAACTGATTGCAAATGGAAGAAAAGCAAAATAGTCAAATGATTGCTCTTTTTCATTCAATATATTTTTACTGTGTTAGAATTGTAATAACCTTAGCATAGAGCGTTTCCTTTTGAACGGCCATGTACTCAGCAATAGACCCATCCAAATCGTCCGGAAAGAGCCCATCATTGTCACATGCAACTGAATCATAAGAATACTGAACTCTCTCCAAGAGACTGAATATTATGGTATCCTCCTGCCTAATTAAAGAGTTTCTGACGTTATCTAAGTACCCAGGAGGAGTAGGAGAAGAGGAAGAATACATAATCACTCGAGATCTCGTTAGGGGAAGAAAATTTTGATGAACAGAGATCATAGGTTTCGGAGAAAGATAGCAGATAGATTTGATATCAAGGTGCGGTGACAATTTCAACATTGCTTCCATTGTGTTGAATTTAGTAAAAGTGAAAGTGATAATGAGAATGACTATAACTGAGATATTCAACTCTTTAACACTAGCTGTGTGAAAAGACATCATACTAAATACCATATTTATACATAAAATGTTGGTGGAACAACCTTCACATATGTATATTTTATTTCAAACATTAGTTTCTTTTAAAAATTATAATCCTACACACTAGCCTTTTATCTTAAATACATTAAACAACAACTTCTCCAACATTTAAAATTTATAAATACACATATTACTTCTAGAAATATTAAACACTAAGTTAGGTTCTTTTATTTCTTCACGTATTAATCTTTACTACAAGACTTATTTAACTAATATCATTAATAAAAAATAGCTGACAAACAATTAAATTTGTGTTTATTTTTTTATACTTACATACTTAACACTGATAAATTTTACTAAAAAAACTATCAACAAATTAAAAACAGAAGTCACTACAAACAAATGTTCATTTTTTGGCAGTTCAAATTGTAATTTTTTAAAACTAGAAATTGACCCAAATAGTTTTAGCTATTAAAATAATTTCCAGAAATACGTGTGTCGAAACCTATTTTCAACTATTTTGGAATCACAGTTGATATTTTTTGTTAAAAGTTAATAAGCATTAACTTACAGTGAAAAAACACTACTAATTACAACAATATTTACTATGTAATAACATCTAAAAGTTATTTAAATATATGATTTACTCTCAGATTGAAAACGCTATAAATATTTATACAATTGCCCGATCAAAATGAGTATTGTCATGTCTACATAAAATAAAAACCTGTCTATACTATAATCTAGAAAATAAAACTTAATAATTAACCCACAACAATTCACTCACGAGAAACAATTATAATAGGAAAAAAATATATAAATGAAGTATCAAATAAATATTCCGATATCTCACAACAACGAGAAAATTAGCTCCATCACCAAAACAATCAACTTATACTATCAGTTTGAAAGAAAAAACATTTATATTGCAACAAAATTCCATATTAAAATAATGGCTAGACCAAATTAATCCATTTACACACGTATAATGAACTAATGTATTTTTCTATTTGGATATAGAAAAAGAGATCAACAAATACATATTTAGTGGAAAAGGAAATATTCACACAATTTTATTTAAAATTTGTATGCTTAAAATAATACTAATGATTTATGGAAAACATAATAAGCAATTTTAAACATACTAACTAATTATAAAATTCATCAATGAATTTATAATTTGGATAACTTTCGAAAAAATGTATTTTTGTTATTAAAGTCATTTTCTTTACTAAACAATAACTAAACTACATTTTAGTTTTCACATAAAACTAACATTATTAAAGAAAGATTAATTCACTAGAAACAATCTTCAATGTTTCAAAATCCTTTATAAAAATATAACAAATATAAGTATTGGGAACAAATATGATATTGTTATTCATATATATGAACTAAGTGACCATTTAGACAGAGATCACATTATTATTTACAGATAGACTTAGTAATTATTAGGACAAAGATGATACAATTATTTAGATATGGGCTCAAGATATGTTGCATCAAGAAAAGAATAACCCAGTTTAATATTGTTAAGTTATATCTCTAACCCATATTCTAAGAATTGTAAACACAAGCTCAATGTCAATGCCCCAAGAGTCAACTTCTCAGCTGTCTCTTCTCAATTTTTGTTGTGTGTATACACAAGATGGAGTGGTGTGTGACATAATTAATATTATTATCTTTGTTGATAAAAGAAAATATATGAAATAAACTTAATAGATGTCAATTCGTATGAACAAATTTTCCAAAGCAAATGGCAATTACGTTGAAGCTATTTAATCCAATTGCCCAGTCAATAGCAAAAAATTTCTTATTTCTTTCAAGTAGTTTTACAATATGCTCACTAGCAAATAACTTGCAATTAAAAAACCAACACCGGATGCCCACCAGCAAATATTAGATTAAATAAACATACCACTATTATCAAGAATTAATTAATACCACAAAAATTACGTAGTTCCTTATTAACATTTTCAACTCAATATGGTGTTAAACTATCCAATAATTCACTAGTTGATAAAGGAGTCAACTAATCTCAATTGAATATAAGTTGCGTGGACAAAGTAGGTTTTCCTCGTCCTTTTTACAAAGTTGAATTCTGTTTTTTATTCATAGATATAGTTATTATGACAAGGTCAATAACAAATCAAATAAAAGTTTACCAAACATGGTTAATTTGTTATTCAATATGTTGTAACAAGACAAAGGTCTGCAAAAATAAAAGACCAAGCAGTTTTATACGAAACAGAGAAAGGAAGATAAAATTTTAATTATTGAAGACTGGTAAGGCTAAGGTAGATCATGGACAGTCTGTTAAAGATGACCAGACTAAGGATATTTTGACATTGTAGAAGGAGATTTAATAAGATATTTATATCATGTTATATGAGATATGTGGTAACCCTTTCCGTTCTTTCTTTTATTTATAAATGGTTGCACATACAATATTTGACACCCAGTTAATGATAAAAAAAAGTAATTATTTGACTTAAGAAAATGTTTGCTGAAGCATCTATTTGCTTTAATGCTTGACTTCCCTCTCTTGTGGGTTGATTCATATTATCTTTCCATGTGTTCTTAATTGCTAACAAATTTTTAATAACATTGAAATCATAATAATGAAGTTGGACATTTTGATATCTCAACAATACTAATTAAGAATCAGTAACTACCTTACTTATCTTCCATAGCTTAATTGCATTCAAATGAAGGATGTATGTACAGTGAAAAGTGTGCATCACGAATCTTTCTTACCAAAATCAATATTAGTGACTTAAATGAGGCTTTTATATTTGTTGTGTATTCACTAACATAAATAAAAACTTTTTTATATGGGTTAAAATGAGTTTTTATATTATCTTTTTATACCCGATAAAAATGGTATCGAAAGTGTCATTTTTTATATCGAAAGTGCAATCGGTACAGAAGAAAAAATATCCAGGTTCACAAATTTTTCTCATATTTTCTCTAGATTTTTACCATATTAGGTTTCTAATTTTTCCAAATTATTCTAAGATTTTTCTAGATTTCTTTTCCAATGTTTCCAGATTATTCTCATATTTTATTTTCAATTTTCTCAAATTATTATTAAATTTTTTCCACAGTTTGCTTTCAATTTTCCAAGTTCCACATATTCTAAACCTAAACCATCAATAGACCTCATTGCTGGCTACCACTAATCTCCATCACACCACCGTGTTTGGAACAAAACCACCACGCATAAAACTTGCAAACAAAACTTCATCTTGCAAGCCACCGTCAACCATTGTGCCTCCTTCACTGAACCTCCAAATCAAAACCAAAAATGCACTGTAAGACTACCTCAACCAAATCACAAATCCAACACGTGCACTGCAAACCAAATGCATATTTGCACTTTAAGCCACCACGTTGTTCAACCTCTCACCATCCAACAGAAACCCTAGAGCCACCCTGCCGTCAACCACATCTTACAAGAAAAATGTGTTTTACATACAAATTATTACATACGGATCTTGAGCCGTATGTAAAGGGCATGTTACGTACGAATCTTGAGCTCGTACCATTTCTTCCTCACTCGCAACTCTCGAACCATTTCTCCCTCACGAGCTACTCTCCCTAAATCATTGTTCTGGCCTCCCTAAATCTCATCTTCAGTACGCTTTTCTCCTTCACTTCATTTTGGCGGCGATTGTCTGTCGTCGAGCCCTATTTCTCTCTCGGTGGAGTCGAGGTTCTCTTTCGTCGAGCCGTCGAAGGTTGCGCACTCGAACCCTATATTTCCCTCATTCGAACCATCGCTGTGTGTCATTTGTAGCGTGGTTATTTGGTAAGTTATGTTCTTTAATTCTGTTTGACCTAACTTTTTGAATTGGAAAAACCCTAATCCTTGTTTTTTTTCTGCTGGGCACAAAATTGATGTGCGATTTGGTTCACCTATATGGGATTCATGTATTGTTAGGAGATTTTGATTGAGCTGCGTTTGAGGTATGTTTCGTTTTATGGGTTTTGTGATTCAAAATTTAGGATTTTGTTTATGGTAATCTTGGTAGATGTTATGTTATTCTTGGAGCATATTAAAATCTTGATTGAGCTGCATTTAAGGTATTCTTTAGGAGTCTGAAAACACCTAATATAAAGATTAGGTGAACATCGTACATTAATATTGAAATTTCTACAATGCTTGTATCAGATTTTAGGATGTTATGTTGATATGTGCCTATTATTTTCAGTATACTACATTTCAATTACTTATAATGAGGCTACATTAGCAGCTTATTGTGGTCATGTATGTTTGTTTTATGTAATGTAATGCCACTCGTGCAAGACTTGAACGAAAGAATAAACTCAATGAAACCTTCTTGATATGTTGAATTATCAACTTTTTAATTGTAGTTTTGGAGTCTGATTGGAAATAAATTGTATTTAAACGTGTCTTACCACCAACTTGAGGTATCAGATTCTAAATGCTGTTGAGTTCATGCTGGAGAGAGTGCTTAACCCGTTGGCCTTGAAGTCCTCAGTGTTGGTTCTGAGGTGTGTGAATAATGTTCTTGGGGGCATGTCCTTTGTGGAGTTGGCAAGGCTAACTAGGCCACAGAACCATCAAAGTGATGCCATAACTCTGTCTTTTAGCTTAAATAGAGATATGTTGGAGTTGGATAAGGTAAGGTTTTTTGTTTGATGAAATTGCATGTAGGGGTTTGCTAAGGTATGTGATGAGAGTTGTGGCAGCACCAAATCAGTGAAGGTGTAGGTGATGTGAGTGAGTTTGTGGTCGGTGGGTGAATAACATTTTTTTGCCTTAGAATAACTGCAGCCTTGGCTTTATTAGCTTTTATTTTAGGCTTAAGGACCCAAAGGTGAAGTGGCATTATCTAGTTTAGTGTTGTTTTCTGCGCATTTACTAAGTATCATTGTCAATCAATAATGGAAGAAGATAGACACCCTTATACACTAGACGAAATGGGACGATTTTGAGTCACAAAAGAAGTGATTGTA